ATGGGGGCCAGTACGAAGCCAGCACGGTATCGATAGTTCTTGTAGCCCACGAAACAGATGCCGCTCACGGAGTCCCCATCCACCTGTAGCAGGAAGGGGTAGGAGGAACAGAGTCGGTCCCTGGCCCCCTCACCCAAGCCCACCCCACTCAGGTCTCCAGCCACCTACCAGTCACTATACCTGGGCCACAGCGAGGATTGCCACAGTGAGGACAAAGGGGAGTGACCACGTGAGCAGGTGGAAATAGGAGGTCTTGCCTGAGAGAGGCTGGTAAGTGGTGCCCAGGGCTTTGAAGGAGGTATGCCAGGCATAGGTGAGGACCACAAACCAGACGACACCAGCCATCAGGGCGTAATACACAATGACAAAGATGATGACGCAGGACAGGGTCTCGTTGGAGCTGTGCAGACATGTGGGGTGTCACTTGGGGAGCTCATTCTGTACTCCCTCTGCCAGCTCTCTCCACCCTGTCCCCAGACTCTTAACCTCTAAGGTCTGGAGGTTCCCTAGGGGTCAGGGCTTGGAGACAGGACCCAGTCAGATGTGAAGAAGATACAGAAGATGCCCCTTTGAACAGATGCAAACAATCAAGGTCCTAATATTGAAACCAAGGTCCTAACCCTGGAGACCTTGGGTGGAACAAGGCAGAGCTGGACCCTACCCTGAAATTTCAGGTTCAAGTCCAACCTGTCCCTTTTGCGATAAACACACATTTCAGCCTTCCTCCCCTCACCCTCACCTCTCTAGGTCCCCAAGACACTTACGTGGGCTCCCCAAGCCTCATGGTACCATCTGCACGGCAGACGATCTCCCGACGGGCACCATCCATGAACTGGGCCAGCCAGCCAATGCTGCCCACAAAGAAACACGCATTGACGTAGAAGAGAATAACCGCAGGGTAGCGATTCGAATTCCGCCAGTCAGCCACAAAAGTGGCCTAGAAGAGAGAAGTGGGGTCCCTTCTTTGCGGCTAGGGCTATTCTGCTGCTGCAGACACCCTTATGTGAACCCCAGGCTCCTCTTATCACAACCCTTCCCTAGGGACCCCGCCAAGTCACCCTCTGCCCACCTCCCTCTCTGTAACCAAAGCCCAGCCTCTCTCACTGACAATCCAGCTCCTTCCCACTTTACTGGCTGAGCGTCCTGAGGCTCCCCTTTCCCCCTAACCCCTCCACCCCGCGGCCCTGCCCTCGGCTGACCAGGGTGAAGAGCGTGCAGAGGCCCGTGATGGCACCGAAGACCGCGATGTAACTGTGCATGTCCTGGTGCTCAGCCTCCGTGAAGAGCGGGTTCTGGCACTGGATCCCACAGCCCTCCACGTCCTCGTACCAGCTCTTGGGGTTGTCGGTCCGAACCAAGGGAGCCTCACACTGGCCTGAACTGTTGAACTTGATGTTCTGAACCTCATTCTGGTGCCAGGGGAGGGAAGAAAGACAATGCAAAAGGGAGCAGGAGGCTCGGGGGCGACCTTTGGTCTAATAAGAGGCACCGGGGTAGCATGGCAGAGTGGCTAAGGGCACGCACTGGAGACAGCCTTCCAAGATTTGAATCCCAGCCTTGCCACTCAATGGCTATGTAGCCTGGGGCAAATTATTTGACGTCTCTGTTACCTCAGTTTCCCCATCTATAAGATAGCAGGGAAAAAATGGATTCATTTGAAAAAATGTTGAAGGAAAGTTCTACAGATGTTTTACATGTGCCTTGACCCCCTAAATACATCACAAACATCCTAAGGATACGGTCCTGTCATCTGTGACCCCCGTAGCTCCCTAACACCTAACAGAGCTGGTGCTCAAAAAATATTTCTTGAACACAATTATATTTTATTAAAAAAAAAAAGAAAGAAAGAAAACCCCTGATGGGTGGGCCCAGCCAACAAGCTTCAGTTTGGGTTTGTGGCCTGTTGACCTCATGGCTGCAGACTTGGGGTCTCCCAAGAGAAAAGGCTCTGGGCTCCCCTGTCCCCCCTCCTGCTCGGCCCTGCCCTATGCCCAGCCCAGAGAGAACTGACCTTGCCTTACAGAGCACTCACCGGGCAGCCCTCGGGGAAGTGGTCAGGAGTGCAGCGCAGGAAGTCGGGCCAGCCCCGCTCCCTCTCCACGATGGCACAGGGGCCACGGGTAGCCTGGCAGAGGGTGCGGCTGGGCAGCTCTACCCGGTCGTTCTCGCACTTGGGCATGTACACGGCACACAGCAGGGGCTGGATCACTGCCCAGCAGCGGGGGGCATTCCGGAGGCCTGCAGGGTGGTGACAGTGTGGACACATTACAGGGAAGACCCCTCCTCACGCTGACCCACAGACACAGCTGCAGTCCCGGTTCCCCGGGCCTAAGACATCTATCTCTCTTTGCCACATCGTAGGCCATTACTGCTTAGAGCTGTTGGGCAAGGGCATGTGAGCAGGATGATTCTCTGTGCTGCAGGGCTGTGCCATGTATTGAAGGATATTTAGCATCCCTGGACCCTGCCCATTAAATGCCAATAGAACCCCTAAGTCATTGTGACAACCAAAAAATACTCCATGCCCCAGCCCCCTTCCAGGGTTGGTGACTGGAAGAGAGAACTTCTGGGACACTGGTCATGTTCTATTTCTTGATCAGGTACTGGTTACCTGGTGTATTCACCTTGTGAAAATTAAGCTTATGATCTGTGCACTTTTGTGTATATACATTATAATTCAATTAAAGTGTTATAAAACAGCCCCCATTTCCAAATGCCCTGCTAGGGAGTATTAGCGCCTCTGGCTGAGAACCCCAGGTGGATTTACCTTGTACAGGTTCAGGAGCATTCTTTAAACCTGCTACAGGCTTCTAACAGGGCAAAGGAGGGTAGTGGGACCTACCCCTCATAGGGCCCACGCTCCAGATCCAGGAGACGTTTCCTTTCCCCTTGCCCAGCCCCCAGGACCCTTGCACCTCTTACCAAGCTGAGGCGAGATAGAGAACAGGTGGGAACTTAAGAAGAGGTAGTCAGGGGAGCCAGGTACTCCAAAGCCAGAGGAAGAAACAGGAAATCAGATGGAGAAAAACAGAGAAGGCTGTGTGCCGTGCAGGAGGAGGAAGGGAAGTGTCAACACGCCAGAAACAGGAAAAGGTCTCCCGACCCCCTGCCCCAGCCCACCTCCACCCTGCTGCCCCAAGCATCCTGCCCGCCTTACCCATCCTGACTCATCCCTGCTTCAGGAACACCTATTTTCTAAACAAGAAGTGGTATTAGAAGCTTCTGGGGATATGAGCGCTAACATGGGTGCTGGCCACACTGCCAGGCTGGGGGTGGGGGAGCATGGGGGTAGGTAACTGCTCTTTTTTGGGGGGGAAGGCAATATAGTCGAGGGGTTAGGAGCATGGACACTGCAATTAGCCTGCCTGGACCCAAATCTTGTCTCTACCATTTCCTGGCTGTGTGATCTGGGGCAAGTTACTTAATCTCTATCTCCAGCCTCAGTTTCCTCATCTTTAAAATGGGGGACAATAGGGGCCGGCCGAGTGGCTCAGTTGGTTAAGAGCTCGCTCAAGAGTTTGAGCTCTGAGCAACAGCGGTTCGAGTCCAGCCCGAGCTGAGCAGCCGCTGAGCTGCCAACAGGTAGCAGGATGGCTCAGCTTAAAAAAAAATAAAATAAAATAAATAAAATGGGGGATAATAGCTTTACCTTGTGGAACTATTGTAAAGAGTGAGATAACGAGTTAAGTGCATAGCACGGTACCTGTCATATAGGAAGCACTCAGGAAACATTAGCTGTTATTATTACTTATCTGAGGCCTCTGACCACTCACAGCTCTCACTACAACAGAGCCTATTCCAGGGGTGCACAGTAAGTTCCTGTCACTTAAGCAATGATTTAGGGCAATGGTCCCATTTGGGGAACCCCCATCACTCTGGATGGAGAACCCACTCTCAGGAATTCTAACTGGGTGGGTGTGGGTGGAGAACCCAGCAGCGAGCACCACAGGGGTTGGGTGGGAGGAGGGTTTGCCTACAAAGGGGCAGCACGAGGGACTATTTGGGGGTGATGGGGTTGTTCTCTGTCTTGAAATGTCATGGCCGGTCATACAACTCTGTGTGTTTATATAAATTCATAGAACTGTACAACAAAGAAAAAGTGACTTTTACTGGGTATTTATTAAACAACATTTAAAATGAGGGGAAGGGCTCACTAGAGTAAAATGTATTCTAGAGAAGCAGCAGGCAGTTAATTAATAAAACGATTGTGCTATTTTTCTGGATTTTGTGATATTTGTGGTAATTATCAGCTTCTAAAAATGTGTAATTTTTTCCCCTCATTTTAAATATTCTTTTGTTTTTTAAAAATGAATTCTCCAAGGAAACGGTACATTAAATAAATCTTAAAAGACAATTGAGGAGTCATCTAGGAAAAAAATAAGTTGGATCCTTACCTCATTTCTGATATAAAAATAAATTCTAGGTGAACTGAAAAGAACTACATTATTTTAAAAAATTAAAGTGCTAGAAGAAAAGATGAGAAAATGGTTTTTTAAACCATGGAGTAGAGAAGGCCTTTTGGCGTACGACACAAAACCCGGGAGCTATGAAATAAAAGATTTAAAGAAAAGACTTCAGAAAAAGAGATAAATTCAGTAGACTAAAAAACAAACACAATCAAAAGAAAAGCAACACACTAAGTAAACATATTTCTGATGCATATCACAGGTAAACAGCTAATTTCCTTATGTGCATAAAGCTCTTCCAAGTCCATAAGAAATTCATAATCCTATAGAAAAAAGGGCAAAAGACAAGCAGAGAAAATACAAATGGGCTTATGACACATAAAGAGATGCTCAGTCTCACTCTTAATAAAATAAATGTGAAATAAAACTGCAATGAAAATCAATTTTTTAAACTTTGGAGCGAAAGATCAAATATTTGAAAATGTTGTATTGGCAAAGAGTGTGGAGGAAACTGTCACTTTGGTATATTTTTAGTAGGAATAAAAAATTACTACACACTTGTGGAGACTATTTGGCATTATCTATCAACACTTTATACTAGTAATTCCACTTCACATGTTCACAAAGATAATTTATAAGATTATTCATTGCAGCACTGTTTGTAATAGCAAAAGAGCAGAAACAGCCTGCATGCATATCCATCAATAGGAGACTAGCTAAAGAAGATATCATATATCAATATAATAGAACACTACTCACAGCAGAACTATTTGCATTGAAATGGAACTATCTCCAATACATCTTATTGAATGGATGCAGCTGAGTGAAGAACAGCCCAGGGAGCATGCTACTACTGGTTGTTGGGGGGGGGGGGAACCACAACTACATTTGTACATATATTGGGTACCTCTAAAAGGAAACACAAAAACCAGTGTTGGGGTGGCTGGTTAGCTCAGTTGGTTAGAGCGCAGGCTCATAACACCAAGTTTCTGGTTCGATCCCCACATGGGCCACTGAGCTGCACCCTCCACAACTAGATTGAAACAACTACTTGAGTTGGAGCTGATGGGTCCACACTGTTCCCCAATTAAAAAAAAAAAAACAGTGTTGGTGGTTGCCTCTGGGGAAGGGAAATGGATAGCTGGAAACAGAAGTGGAGGAATTTAATTTTTGTTACTTTTGAATTTTGTACTATGTGCACGTGGTACCTACTTTTCAAAAGTAATTAAGCTTAAAAAAATAAATATGCAAGTTACTGAGATGGGGGAAGCTCCCCAAAGAAGAGAAGGGGATAAGACTGGAAATAGGAAGAAAAGGGACATCAACTTTATTTGTATTATTTCTTTTATTTTACTAAAATATGGGGGAAAAAAAGAAAAAACAGGATCATGGGTGTTGGTCTCTGTATTTTTCTATATTCACAGACTTTTAAAATAACATTTGAAAATATTATACTGAGAAGAGGCCCATAGATTTTACCAGACTGTCACAGAGGTTCATAGCTCAAAGAAGGAGAAGAACCATGCTATAAAGATATGATAATTAAGATGGTGTGATATTGGCAAGGGGTGGACAAACAGATCTCTGGAACAGAATAAAGATCCCAGAAACAAAAATATATTTGGACACTTGATTTATGGCAGAGCAGTGGAGAAAAGATATTCTCTTTAACAAATGATGCTGAGATACTATATATCAAACTGAAGTTCTAAAAGATCAACTCCAGGTGAATTATATGCCTAAAATGAAAGGAAAATCTATAAAGTTTTGAGATGATAACACAGGAGAATAAATTCATGACTTTATGTTATGAAAGGACTTTTAAAAAGAAGACACAATAAGCACTACTCATAAAAAGGTTGATAAATGACTACCTTAAAATTCAGAATTTCTGTTCAGTAAAAGATACAAAGAGAATGAAAAGGCAAGCCACAGAATAGAAAATATCATCAATATGTACAACCAATAAAGAACTCATATCCATGAAGATCTCCTACAAATCTTATAATGACAGCTAACCCTATAGAAAAATAAGCCAAAGGTTTGAACAGATACTTCACAAAAGAAGAAATTCGAAAGACCAGTAAACATTTGAAATGGTGCTTACCTCACTAGTAATCAGGGAAATGCAAATTAAAACCAAAAATCCATATCACAACATATTCACTAGATTGGCAAAAATTTCAAAGGTTGACCATACCAAGAGTCAGGAATCATGTGGAGCAATGGTGACAATTACAGGGCTAGTGGGAGTGTAAGTTGGTACAACCACTTTAAAAAACTGTTTGGTGTTATATAGGTATGCATGCCCTATTATCTAGCGATTCCACTCCTCTAAGTACATACCTGGAGAAACTTGACCCAGGTACACCAGGATATACATAAAAAAATACTCATAGCAATGGTATTCACAGTGGCCCAAAACTGGAGACAACTTAAATGTTGAGCGACAACAAAATGGATAAATAAAATGTGACCTATTCTACAATGGAATACTATTCAGCAAAGAAAAATGAGCTGCAATAACATGGATGAATCTTACAAAATAATGTAGAGCAAAAGAAGCAAGACTTAAAATACACACAGCATGATTCCATTGGTATAAAGTTCAAAAACATGCAAAACTGAAATGTACTGTTTTGGGGATTCCAAAGCTAGATGGTAGAACTACAGAGGAAAAAAAGGAAATGGTTATCGAAAACATCAGGGTACTGGTTACTTCTAGAAGAGGAGGGAGGGGGATATGATTGCAATAGGCAAAGGGGGAGCTTTTAGGAGACCCCCCCCTATGGTCTAGTTCTTGGCTCAGCAGTCACTTTATACTTATTTGTTGTTTAGACCTCTATGTTTTAGGTACTTTCTGTATACATGCTATGTTTTACAATTAAAAAGTTAAAAATCTGAAGCAAAAAAGAAAAAGTGGGCCCATGGGTATTTTTCTGTACTTTTATACTTTACTAAAGGATTTATATATATATATATATATATATATATGATTCTGATCATCAGCCAGGTTTGCGAACAGCTCTAAGGAAATGCTTCCTGATTTGATCCTTCAAATAACACATCATCACCAACAACACCCCTCCTCTCATCTCTCAACTAGATGTCTGAGGGGCAAGTGAGAAATTCCTCCCAGCTTCTCCGGCTGTTTCCTACTGGCTGCCCTGACTAGGAGACAGAGCCACACACCCCTGTGCACACACAGAGCACAGCAGTGGTCAAAGAGGCTACGTGCTGGCTCTCAGGGACCTATTTCCCTTGCCAGCCTCAGGCCTCTCTGCTTTCTTGCCCCATTTACCAAACCAGATTTGGCCAAAGGTGGACCATGGCCTGGATATTATTTTTGTCTGGTCAGCCTGGAATGCCTGAGAGGAGGCATTTCAAGCTATAACGGGGACGATGCTGTGTGCCTGAAGAAGCCCAAGTCCAGAGAGTTGAAAGATACAGGAGACACCCGAATTCTATACACACCTAACTACTGGCCCAACCTGAGCCATGAACTTCCTCACTCAATTGCCTGTTTCCAGAGGCTCAGCAGTCAGGCCAAGGAAGCATCTCTCTCCAGCAACTCCCTATTCCAGGTCGGCTAGGACTCTCCACATAGATGTCCAATGAGCCAAACGAGCAAGTAATTCACCTGGCCAAAACTGAACCCAGGCTTTCTTTTTTCTAAACCTACTCCTTCTCTAGCATTCTCTAGCTTAGTGAAAGTGAAGGTACCACCGTCCATCTAAGCCCGAAACCTGGGTCCTCCTGCTGTCTCACGCCCTCCATTCAACTCATCGGCAATTCCCATTGGTTCTAGCTCTGAAACTCTGTGATCTGTCCACTTCCTCCAGCCTGTTACCCTAGTCCTGACCACCATCATCCCTCACCTGGACGCCATCAATCATCCCCTAAACAACTAACCAGGCTCCAGGTTTTCCCTCCAACCGTGGCTTCTTCACACAATACTCAAAGAGGTCTTTCTAAAATATGATTACATTACTCCCTTGCTCAAAAGCCTTCAATGGTTCCTTATTATCTTCTGGATAACATCTAAACTTCTTAATATGGGGTATCAATCCCTTTATTTTCTAATTCTCCAGGTCTTATCTCTTATAATTCTATCCCTCACACGCTTTGATCCAGCTCTACTGAAATTCTTATACTTCTCTGAAAGTGCCAAGCCTTCTCACCTCTACACCTTTAAACATGCTATTTCCTCTTCCTATCCTTTCCCACCCAACACTTCCTGGGCCCAGATAATTCCTACTTATTTCTCAGGTCATGAGATAAATGTCAGTGCCTCTGGGGAGGGAGGGGCGGGTGTCTTCTTTTGCTTCCCAAAGTCCTTTGCGTTCCTTCAGCACCCTACCCTGTCACACTACCTTTCACAGGTATTGCTAAAGCCTGTTTAATTGTCTGTCTTCCTTTTGAGGGCAAGGATCATGTCTGTATTCTTAACCTTTATATGCCCCAGAGCCTGATCCAAGATGACATGTAGCAAGCACCCAATACCTAAATGAATGAATGAGTGGATGGCTGTATACTCAGAATTCAGGCTTTCAGAAAATAATGTGAAAAACCTTCAAAAGTTTACAGATGAAGACAACACAGATCATCTTCAACTTTACCCACAAAAACACCTCCAAGAGCCAGGTGACATTGAGTATGTCTAATGCCAAATCAAGACACTAACTCAGGACAGGACAAATTGCTAGCCAGAAGCTCCCAGCTGACGACCTGTCTGTGATTCTCACCCTTGACTCAGATCCACTCTACCTACCCACTGACCCAGCTCATACCAACACCTGCTTCCAGCTCTATTTCATAGAACATCCCACAGAAAGACCCAAAGCAGAAAGAGAACAGTCAGAACATACATGAGAATGGAATTAAGCTGAGGGATGAGGGGTGGCAGCAGAGAAGAGCTCAGAATGAACTAAGGATCTAGGCTCAGCGCCGGTACCTCTGCAGGACCCTGCCCCACCAGATGCACAGCTAATGAGGTCCAAACCTGAACAACCCGCAGATGGTTCTAACTCCTAAACGTTCCTGCCCAAACCTCTTCTGTCTACTCAGCGGCTGCTCTTAGGAGTATGGGGTGGAAAGAGGTTTGTACCCTTCCTTCCTGATTTGATGGGCAGCATCACATATGCATTTAACTTAGGAGAATTCAACCACGGGCCCCTGCAAAATACCTAAGTAGAGAAAAAGACACTATCCTCTCTTAGCATGAGCAACTTAGAACAGGGTGAAATTCTAGTGCTGAGAGATTTGGGTTTTCCACTCAAGCTTTATTTCAGGTGGTGCTCAAAGAAATATTGTTTATACCTTTTGTGTTCCTTTTTTACTCTGCCTTCCGATTTTACATTTATGTGACTTTAGAGACTAAAATGATAGTTTCTATGTATGCCCCTTCTTAACACTGTATGTTACTATATGTGACCCATTTACACAAACGTATTACCATATGCAAAATCACAGACCTTATGTTATGGTAATTTACGCGTTTTTCAAAGCTACTGTTGATCACACATGGTTTTTGTCTCTATGCTGACTTTAAACCTGATAACCACAAAGCATGTAGCTCCACCATCCTCCAAGTTCCTCCTCTGGCATCTTCACCAAGCCAGGAATGATGTGGCTATGTCTAACATTGGGCAAAGACTCTGAGAACTCTAGTGGCCAAGTTGACAAGGACAGAAAACCTACGTATACTCTCATCAGAATCATCACCAGCACCCAGGGCAGAACGGAGATGCGAGACGTGGGGTACCTGAGGGCTGTCAAAAGAAGGAGGTTGCCAGGTCTGCGCCTAGCGTTTGATTTTATTTCCTTTTTCAAGGTCAGTTGGGAATCACCCTGGCCAGGAGCAAGGGATGACAAGACCAGTTCCCTTCCTGAGCCCCTTTTCGGCCCCCAGCCCAGAAGCGTGACAGGTGGAGAGATAATCCACTTCCACTGCTAAGGGAGGACCTGTTTGGGTTCAGTCTGCAGTTTTTCAGGGCTAGCCATAATTCCACCTTGAGGTGAGGGTCCTGGGACTTCAGACCACCATGGAAGTATTCCATAGGCTCTCAACACCCCCAGACTTAAGTGTCCTTCCACAGCCCTAACCAGCCCGAAGACCCAAACTTCCAAAGAACACACAAATAATCGTTAGAATAGTCCCATTCCTTTATAAACCTCAAACAAAAATCAGAGCCCCTATTTTCAGATGTGGAAACTATGAAATCTGTGAAAGCAAGACAGGATCACGGTTCTCTGGACTTCCTGTCTCCCAAAACAAGGTTTCTGGAACGTTCTGGTTACCTTTTAATTCCTCATCACCAGGGGGTTTCTTATTCCTCACAAATTTCACTCAGTTCTCACCCCCTTGCCACCCTCCAGTCCCATGCCTAAATATTCTACCTCCATCCTTCCCTTTTTCCTCTCCAACTTGATTTTCCAGTCTCTTCTCCAAGATGTAAACACCTTGAGTCGCCAAGGAACTCGCTTCCAGAGTGGCACTTAGGTAGAGCATCTCCTCTTTTTGGAAGATGTCCTTTGCCGTGGCTCAGAGCCCGCTCTTCACGGGCCCGTGGTTCCCCCGCATCCTTTGCTCATCCACCCTGCTCAGGCCCTTTGTGACCCAATTCCTCAACTTCCTCGCCCTCCCTCCTCATCCCCCAGGGTCCCCATCCTGTACACAGCCTGCCCCCAAAGTTTCAGACAATGTTCCTCCAGCGCACCCGGGTGCAGCTCCCGCCCTCTCTAAAGCTCAGGCCTGAGCCAATTCTTTCCCCGAGCCCCGGCATCCCGCTACCGCACCCCCCGGTCCGGCTCCCGCGCGCTTACCAGACCAGAGCACCAGTTTGCCGTGCGCTTCCTCCTGCGAGTCCGAGTCCCCGGCCAGCAGCGTGGAGGTGGCCCCGTAGGGCAGCGCGGAGCCCAGGCACACGTTGTAGCGCAGGGGCTCGCAGGGGGCGGCCCGGCCGCAACGGCTTAGCAGCGGCGGCGGGCCGGTCACCGCCGCGCTCCTTCTGGCGCTCCCGCCCGCGCTTCGCGGCCCAGGCCCGGTCGCGTTCCCGCTCAAGGCGGCCCCCCGGCCCGGGCCCCCCAGAAGCAGCAGCAGCAGCAGCCCCAGGAGCAGGAGCTCCGGCCCCCGCAGGAGGCAGGCAGCGGCCATGGCCAAACTCGCCAACTCAGCAGAAGTCCTGGCTCTCCCGCCCGCTCCCCGGAGCCCCCTGGCCACACGCGCAACCCGTGGGGCCGCGGAGGCGACTCAGGCGACCTGTGCGCCCCACGAGTCCGGTGCCCGGCTCCCCCGGACGCTCCGCGCGCCGCGGGCCCTTGGCGCCCAACTTCGCAAACTTCGGAAGCCGAGGCCCATGTTGGGAGACCGAGGCCCAGGCCGGGATGCACGACTCCCTACTCCTTCACCTGGCGATCCAAGTGGTCTTCAGCCTCGGGAGCCCCCTGGGCCCCCAATCTCCAGACCCATCTTCTCTCCCACTATTAAAACCACCTCCGGGCCCCGCGATGGAGGCCAAGCGCGGGATGGGGGTACGGGACTGGGTCCCTGGCGCCACCCCCCGCGCCAGCCGGGGGCCCAGCCGTCACCTTCGCCGGAGCGCGCCGCAGCCCCCCGACTTCTCCCCGCCGACTACCCGGCTCCTTTGTTGCTCTAGCTCGCTCGGCTCTCTGGAATGCACGGGCCTCGCGGAGCCAAGCCCGGCCCCCCCTCCGCCACGGCTGGGGGAGGGACTGGCCGAGGGAGGGAAGAGGAGGGGAGAGGATGGGAGGAGGAGCGCGAGCTGCGGCGACCCGGGCGCGCGGAGGGGCCCGGGCCAGGGGCCTCCGGTGACCCTGCCCGCCTCCTCCGGGCAAGAGATCGGTGGGAATCGTGGCTCGGAGCCGCACCGAGACCCAGGCGGCACCTGGATTAGCCCCGGGATCACTCGACTTGGTCACTTGCAGGGAGTGGGACTCTTCGAGTTTACGTTGGGAGAAACATGGGATGCCTGAAGTCAGCGGAAATCTCTACTATATCCCGTCGGGCTTCCGAACCCGCCAGCGTTTTCTGCTTTTGGTTAGATCTTTCGTCTTGTCCTGGGGCCCCATGGAGAAGAACCAGAGTTTGAGGTTCCCTTGTTCAAATCCTTCCAGCTCCGGAACTGTGTGAGAGATGACCTCAGAGTCACTCAGGTAGCTGCTCCGGCTGCTGTTACCTGTGGGAGCAGGTGTCTCTGGATACCAAACGAGCCAACGTCAAGCCTTTATTATTACAAATGTGTGAAGCCTGAACTATGGTTTCCAACGACTGGCGCTGGGGTGTCTTTGGTTTTGTCCAAAGGAAGCCAGTCCATCTTTGATGGCCCTTGCTGCTCATAGGCTGGTGAAGGAAGTTTCTGGGGGGCTCTCCTTCCTTCCTCTGCTCATTTTGTCTTTCCTCGCTCCTTTGCTTGTTGTGCTTTCAGTCATCACACTTGATTTCACAGTGTTTACCTACAGCCAGGGTTCCAGCCAGGAGAGTGGATCCTGCAGCACACTAGGGTGGCATTTTCTGTCTTAACGTTACCTTGACCCCTTCAGCCTAGCCGAAGTGGACTAGCTCTGTTAGGTTTGGCTGTTTAAGAGCCAAGTGGAGATTGTACTTCAGCTACCATCCTCAATTAGTACATAAGCCCCAAAGGGAGGGAGGGAGGGAG